CGATCCCAATTGCGTGGATCGATGCTCATGATGTAAATCACCGGATTGTCTGGTCCAGACTCGATTATTTACAGACCGCCGTCATATATCTGGAATATTGCTGAGTGCGGCGTTATACAACAAACCAACCAACCAGCCATAATATAGAATGGGTGCAGCAAAGCAAAGCAACAATTGTCTTCAAAGATATACCTGGATAAGTTTTCATAAGTTGAAATAACGGAAAACATGACTTTCATGACTTGTAATGAAATAGTCTCACAAGCATTAGACCAGATTAACCTTGGGAAGAAGTAATGCCCAGGTTTTTATGACGTGAAGTTGCTGACATTTCCAGTTCTATGGAAATGTCAGCAACTTCACATTATATATATATATAGTTTTCTGCCTGTTCGAATAGAGTTGAGGTTAACTTGTGCTTCGAAGCGGGGTATAAGGGATATCTTCTCCAGCTCAGAAATCCTCGTGCAGTCTTTGTTCTTCGTGGTGGGATTTATTCTTCCGCTCAGAAATGTATTGCCCTCCCAGGCTGGACACACAGTATTTAATCAAGATCACCAATGAACCCCCATCAGATCTCATCATTCTGACATGGAGGTATAACATTGTTATACCGGCAGGTATTGTTGCAGCCCTACCCTTTACGGTTAGTTACCAGAGTAAGGTATAAAAGTTGTCATGCTGACCCCTCAAAACTTTTGTGAATTGCTGATACATCTGCTATGAATCCTTTTATAGCTTTGTGTTATGCAGTGTTTACTGGTGTGCCATTTAAACGAATCAAGTCACAAAAACGCAACTGCTACAGAAAAAAATGCATTCCATGCAAAAGTTGACTTTTATGAAAGCCCCATGTATTTCACTACCCAAGAATGGTTATTAAAACGTGCGTTAACGGGATTCCATAATCATTATTTAGCATCGTGCTGACAACAACCACGTGTTCCACATACACTCCAGGAACTTCGAAACATGCTCCAGCAGATATGGACAGATATTCCACAGGACTTTGTGCGACGCCTGGTCAATTCCATGAGACGAAGATGTGTTGCTTGCATCGCAACCAGAGGTAGACACACGCTACTGATATGTAAATTGACATTTTGGCATGTTATTGGGTTTTTTTATGAAATCACGCATTTTCTGAAGTCAGTATGGCAAATTAAACCATTTGAACACTTACAGGAGTCTTTTGTCTGTTGCAAACCGAAATTGTTTCAGATTTGGTAAAAAACATAACTTTGCATTAAATCTTATTCAACGTCACAGGAACTTTTGTTGTTCAGTTTATTTAGAGAACAAAGACTATATAACAGCCTTAGTACAAAGGCTGTTATAGAGTTTCATGTACAAGGTTACATGGAGAACTACTCAACAGAACTAAGGTAAAATTGTTAAGATTGCTTCCATTTAATTTAAGTCTAAATTTATATAAAATTTATATAAAAACAAAAAAATTGGGGGATCATAAATAGCAAAATACACATATTCACTATATGGAGAATGTGTTTACCACGTTTCTTTATGAAATTTCAAAAAAGATCTTCCATCTCTACTCCGGAAACTAAACCCATTGCTTTCATTCAGTTCAGGGATTAAGACCAAATTTATGCAATTGAAATACACATATAATAAAGGAAATTTTGGGGGAAGCATCAGTAGCACCTCTATAAACCCATGACAATCCGAGGTAGAAAAGGTCTTCAGCAACCCATGCGTGCTGTATAAGGCGACGATACTTGTCGTAAGAGGAGACTAACGGGATCGATCGTGTGGTCAGGCTCGCTGACTTGATGCATGTCATAGTATCCCAAATGCGTGGCTCGATGGTCATGATGTCAATTACTGGATTGTCTGGTCCAGACTCGATTATTTACAGACCGTTGTCATATGGAATATTGCTAGTGCGGCGTCAAACAACAAACAAACAAATACCACTATATGGTGAATGTGTGTACCAAGTTTTGTAAAATTGTCTCGTACGGTTTCCGAGTTCTGCTCCGGAAACGAAACGGGACGGACGGATGGAGCCCATTTCTTTATCCCCTGCCAACCTTGTTGGATCGGGGAATAATTATGTATCAAACGTTAAGAAGGTGACTGAAACGGACGTAAAATATTCAAAGAAATTTCCCTTAAAAAGGAATGCAGCTGTCACGTAACAGTTCCGTCGATTGATCAGACTGTTTGACATCGAGGTATTACTTAATGATAGACCCGTGACAATCCGGGGTAGAATAGGTCTTCAGCAACCCATGCTTGTCGTAAAAGGCGACTATGCTTGTCGTAAGAGGCAACTAACGGGATCGGGTGGTCAGGCTTGCTGACTTGGTTGATGCATGTCTTCGTATCCCAATTGCGTGGATCGATGGTCATGATGTCAATTACTTGATTGTCTGGTCCAGACTCGATTATCTATAGACTGACGTCATATAGCTGGAATATTGCTTAGTGCAATATTGGTAACATGGGTTGCTGAAGACCTATTCAACCCCGGATCTTCACGGGTCATGGAGCTCATGAATGGAAAAGACTTCATTGTAATCTTCCCCGTTATCTGAATTAAAATTTAAAGGTTTCTTTTCCTGCAGCAATTTGTATTTTTGAAATTGAGGGACATAGTCAGACGAGGAAGAATGTTCACCAAGAGTTTCACCAAGTTTATTGGCAATACCTGATTAATCAGTTAATAATTGATCCCCCATCTTTGAGATGGTGGATGCTTGATTTAGTACCCTTACCTTTTATTTTCTGAATCATGTTCCATACCTTGGACATAGGCGTCAGTGAATTCATCTTGGATACATCATTATGACAAGACTGACAATTGTTTTGTTTGAAAGTGCGCCGGGTTTTAGCATTTACAATTTTAAAGTTGTTGAGATTATGGACCATTGGATGGCGTCGGAAATATTGTTCAGCTTTTTTACGTGCCTTCCTTGCGTGTTTGCAATCATTGTTGAACCATGAAGTACGTATGTGAGGATTTAAGGAGGACTTCGGAATACATTAATCAGCTATTTTAGAAAGTTCGTCAGTTGTATAGAGTCGGGAACATCAATAAAAACTTCAGGTTTTAGTTTGTTAGAACAAAGGACTTCATATAATGCCCAGTTGGCTTTAGTAAAATTCCATCGTGAAGATAGAGCAACATCAGAAGGTTTAAAAGATTTTAAAAATGGTAGGAATATGGTCACTTCCACAGAGGTCATCGTGGACTGTCCATTCAAATTCATTAAGTAAATTAGAATCTACAACTGACAAGTCCAGACAAGAGTATGTTCCGGTTGCAGGATGAAGATACGTGTGAGAACTATCATTAAAAAGGCATAAATTGTTATTTAAGAAAAAATCTTGTCGTAATTTTCCTTTAGTGTTGGTGACATTACAACCCCAAAGTGGGTTATGACCTCCAAATCTCCCATGATGACACATGGTTTGAGGAGCTGGTCATACATATAACGAACACAAAGTAAACACAATATTCGATGTTACAATGGAACAGGATGCTTCGCCTCAACACAACAGGAGATCACCCAGTTGCTGGGGGGGGGGGGGGGGGGGTAGGAGTCATATTGTCGTTAATCAAAATTATCTGTAGGTTTAAGGAACGTTTCTTGCAAGCAAAATGCCGATGGTTTGTATTAATAGCTGAAGATAATTAAAATTGTTCCGGAGTTTTCTACAATTCCATTGTATTAAAGAGGGAGCAACTCATGGAGGTCTATTGGAGATCGTGCGCCGGGGGAAAGTCCTCTATGCCGTAACAACAGCGATGGAGTGACCTCCATGTCTAAACGGTCTATCATTGAAGCAGGCACCTCGATATGCTAAAGGCACTTTGCTTCTTTTATTTTGTTGTTGTTTTCTTTCTTTTTTAGTTGAACGGACATTTGTTGTTGGTTCAGTACGAGACTCTGGCACAGGTTCAGATTCTGGATCAGGGTCTGGAGGGAGGAGGTCAGCTTGCTGAGACTGAGGGGTAGATAGTGTATCAGTCTGAGTTTCATTTGTTAATACGGTCATCTCAAGTGGGAAGAGCATTGTTCGTTAGTCCTTGACCCAGCTAATTGATGTCTTACATGCACTATTTACCTTTTGGATGGAAGAAGAGACTGCGACAGAGTATGGTTTCTAAAACGGAGTAGTTGGAGCCTGGTCTGTTACCAATTTCTTGGCATCAGGGAATGAAATATTATTGGTGTATTTGATTTTAACAATTTTTTATTCTCGTTCAAATGCTGGACATGACTTGGAATATGACAGGTGGTCACCCTTGCAGTTTGCACACTTGATGGCATTGATGCAATCGGTGCTATCATGTTTTCCACTACAGCGGGCGCAAATTGGAGAGGAGGTACAAGTCTTGTCCACATGTCCAAAACGCTGACACTTGAAACAAAGGAGGGGAGTTGGTATAAACATATCCACCCCGATGCTAAAATATCCAGCTTTGATGTTTGTTGGAAGTTTTGAAAGTGCAAAAGTGAAAAGATAAGTGTTAGTTTTTGCTACTCTGTCATTATCTTTTCTGGTGAATCGTTTGACCAATGACACACCTTGAGATATCAGTTCCATCGTAATTTCCTCTTCAGACATGTCAGACAGACATTTAGCTCGATCACGAACAATATAAATACTCGACACGCACCACTCAGACCAGTAGTAGATCCGTGAAGATCCGGGTAGAATAGGTCTTCAGCAACCCATGCTTGCCGTAAAAGGCGACTGTGCTTGTAAGAGGCGACTAACGGGATCGGGTGATCAGGCTCGCTGACTTGGTTGATGCATATCATCGTATCCCAATTGCATGAATCGATGCTCATGATGTCAATCACTGGATTGTCTGGTCCAGACTCGATTATTTAGAGACCGCCGTCATATAGCTGGAATATTGCTGAGTGGGGCGTTAAACAACAAACCTACCAACCAATTGATCAATTCAGCATGTATCCAATTCCATAAATCCGTTTGGGCACAGAACAACTTGGTATTCGTTTAACATATCTTGTGAACTGAAAAAGCCAAATCGTTTAACATATCCTGTGAACAGAAACAGCCCCATCGCTGCCTTGGAGATACTGATGAAACCGCCTGACTTCCACTTGCTTCCACTTGCCCTGAGATTCCAGTGTTCGCATGCGTCCTCTGAAATCCTCAGTTTCAGTGTGACCGTCAGTAAACGTTGTGTAAAAGCCTGTATTGACAACGTATCCGCCTGTTTGAAACGAGAATCACATTTATTTGAACTGAAGCTATCGATACAATAAATAGATATGATGAAAAAAAGGTATGTGCGCAAGACAATTACCAAATTGTATTCAATCATGTTCATTTAGCTGTGATGAAAATCGATAAGTATTAAAGTTCAGATTATATGATGGGGATGGGTTGAACATTTAAAGTATTCAGGTGCATCGGGGCGTTATAATTTATCAATGTTGGAGGAAAGGTCGTATATGACCCACCTTCGTACATGTTTAACAATTTGGTGAACACGGCGTAGCGACGCAACTCTGCTTAGCGAATTGCCGCACATTAGATGACTGGCCACCTGCCACCCATCAATTGTTTCAGATGATCATACCGAAAGTTATAGTCATAACATTCTATATATTGTTTTCCTAATTGTTCCTATGATCTTAATTGTGGCGATTTACGAAAACTAGCTATTGTATTATATACCCCGTTTCAGGTTACAACAACGCACAGAAAGTCATAATACATCAATTGGTCAATATGGTGATTTTCCTGATAACATTACTTATATACTTGGATTTTGACCAAGTATGGCTTGTGATAAGACAATCAGGCCAATAGCGAACTAATATGGTCAACATGAAGTAACGCTGCTTCAACATTGATTTGAAGATGATAATTCAAACTAATATAATTTAGAATACTGATAACAGAAGACATACTATATGAATGGCAAGTGACATATATTTTGTATTAAAGGGTTGAAACCATCTTTTTCGAATTGGTATTTTATAAAATACTTTCAGCTTACAGTGTCTCATTCCGTTCGAAACGTTAATAATTGTTGTCAAGAATGCCGAAGCCATGCACACACCTTTTTTAACAATCCTAATGAGTGTCTCAAAGGCTTGGATGGGTAGTCTTCTCATAATGTCAGTACTAAGTCCACATATGATAACTGCATCATATGTATCTACAACACACAAACACATGAATGAAAGGGCAAGTCATAGTTAAATATAATTAGTTAATGATCCACCCTGTAATTGTATTACATTTTCAGTTTGGGTGAGAATTACATGAAGATTTATGCACTAGGAAAGAACAGAAAACATTACATAGGTTTCAATATGAATAGTGCACTCACGTATGTAACATTCAAAGTAATTATATAAGATTTAATATGTTATTTTACATCGCATCCCACTGCCAATAATGCAAACTCATAGCAAACGGGATGTCGCATCATTCGTTGAATACACAGTCATGTTCTGGTACCGTGAACATTATATCTGTTTCTTTAGTTCAGATGAACTATTTAATATTTTACCGTCATTGATATCAAGAGCGTTTTCCCCTAACACGCCAATGATGTAGCGGCCATAGAGTTTCTTCTTTTTGGCTTCTGATAACATTCCCTCTGATGCATCAAGCGCAGCTAGTTCCAGGAAATTGTATTTTTTGAGCTGATAAATTGAATACATGTTATTAATTTCGATACATACAAACGGTTGGTTGATTATATTCAAAATTCTCTGATCTTGTATCTCAGCATTCAGGTATGTAATATCTATTGTGTCACTAGTGCTATAATAAGCTTCCCTTCAAAATGTGTAATACCCATCCTCATTTGTAGTTACATACCTTCCAAACAAAATTATTTTCTCTTCCTTCTAAATATGATGCATGCAAGGGAATAAACAATATCAATTTGAGAAATTCCAGGGTTTTTTCTTCGTGTGGAAAGGCTTTTCGTTTAGGGTAAAGTACATAATATGCCAAAACAACACTACAAAATTGTTTGTGATGCAAAATCATATATTTTGGTAAAGACTGATATACTTTCGTTGTTGATATGGTGTTTTCAGGTGTCCACAAGTTCTTACTAAATTATCATAATATCAAATACAATTACCTCAGACGCACAGAGGCCTGTGCCAGCCGCAACATCTAACATACAGACATTGTTTCTGTTGCTTGGAAACAGTTGTGCCACTGTTGCAGCCGTTTCCTTGGGACCGTTGTAGTTAAAAACGGCCATAGCCTGTCAAATAATTGATTATCATAACTAGGAAACTAATAAATTCATAGCTATACAGCACATCGTAAATATACAACGTCAACGCCAAATAATGATTCAGTCTCGATTATCTGCTGACACGTATTCCAATGGGCTTAGGCGGCATTATACATGTAGCTGTAAAAAGTGTATGAATAATTTCGAAATACGTAGCTAGAATTTCAAATGCAATGGTCATTATAGATTTATATTAATGACTGTCGATGTAAAAGTCGTAAGGCACGAAAACTACGTTGTATATGGCAATAAATCGTGTCTAACGCATATTCTAGCTGTAACGAGTGAAGCTTTTCTGAAATGCATATTTATCATGTCCCCCTGTATTATAGTTATTTAAAGTGGATAGTAAGATTAATAAAATCACTCAGTTACAAAATTCATACTTTTTCATACTGATGACTTATCTGGGAGTAGCGATCAAAGACCACTTTGGGATCCACTTTCTTGTCAGTAATCTGCTCCAGAATGTCCAGGGCTTCAGATTTTTCGTCTTCATTGTACTGCGAGGAATATACTGAAGTCATTTCGTCCTGAAAATATATGGAATATACACTGCCCCGAATTCGATAGATTAAATCTGTTGACATTTGTAGGAAGGCGATTCTAAGTATTATTACCCACATGGGCTCAAATATGGAGTGTAATAACTTTTTGATATTTGCACAATGTGAAATTAGTGATTCTCGAAGCTGATTGGTCAGTTGAACAAAGATCAATTTTCATTGGACAACAGAACTATTTTTTTATCATCCCATTCATTCACAAATCCACGCCTTTCCCTTCAGATGTTTTACGTGCTACAATCTCACTGATTCGAGATTTTTAAGACAAGAAACATAGTTTCATATCAACATGATTTCACATTTTATTTTTTTCATTTATTTCACATACTTTTCGTTCTACAGTAAAAACCAAAACTACGTCTGCGTTTGGAAACAAACATGGCTGGCCATTTAACACCTGTCAAAGTAAATGACCTCGTTAAAGCGGACGGAGATCTGACTGACATGAAGAGTTATTCGAATAATTCAACCTCTGAACACATTTAATGTCTTTTATGTCAAAACTGCATATGGCCAGATTGAAGTTCCAAGATTCATATTGTGATGTTGCCAGAAACTGTTTCTAGTGTGCCAAGATCATCACCACCAAGTCCGGGTTTGCAGCTTGCTGTTGATGAATTGTTCGACCACCCGATTAAAAAAACGCACTTAGTACAGACAGGTTTGCCTTTGTGAACGATGATGACATCAATAACTGCCAATAAAAATTAAAACAGAATGAAAAAGACTAAACTTGACAAGTTGACATGAATTTAGTTCACAAATTTATACAGGTAAGAAAAACACGAAAAAAGACTACTCACACTTTCAACGATGGCATCAGAATAAAAACAAATTCATTTTGCGACAACATTTAGACTTTCCGAAAGACATTATAAAGATACACTATTTCGTTGAATTTTGTAACGCTGTGTGAAGAAATAAGAACGAGACACTTTTTTTATACAATGTATACGTTTTTGTAACCGCGACGTCACCACAGTACGGCGCTGAACGGTATGCAGGCTGACTGACGTCCGGGCACCATATGAGGGTTAATGACACAGAAAAGGAACAACTAAACATTATTCTTTGCAAATTTATCATTTCGGCATGTACATAAGGCGGTTCAGAATTCGAAATGTCTACTTTGAAGGAGATCAAGGGAAGCATAGTGTTGCCTTAGCGACAATATTACCAACATCTGGTTGCGAAATCGATGCACTCTGCTGAACTCTCAGAGGTTTTGAAATCAAAACAAAATAATCAAAAATACAAGGAAAAGAAAACTTACCCCAGCGAACTGATCCCGTGTCCGATATTGAACTAAATGAACTCCGTGAATGCGGACAGCTTGTCACCAAGTCTCCAGATACCGTGTTAGTCTATCAACAGGTATTCGACCAATATCAATCACATCAAAATATCAACAAACTCCCGTCATCTAACTTTGTCCACTCTACAAGCGCGTTTGACAAGTCCTCCTAAAATCCCACATGCACATGTTTCCCATTAGTCACACTTGTCTCACGTCATACACGATGTTCATTGTAACACCGGTTCTCTTGTCATTCCTGGTTTCGGCTGTCTCATATCTGGGTCAAGTCGGGTCATTCATTCCGATACTGTGACAGCAATCGTACTTTTCAAAGTTTACCTTGTTTTCGTAACTTTAAATCACATTAATACATTCATGCGCGGCATTCTCTACCTTAAGAAAATCGTAGTTAACATGCTTATCCAACTCGAACTACCATCCCGCTTAAGATGAATGTTTTATGTAATATCCAACAGACCCACATTTACACACACACACACACACACACACACACACACACACACACACACACACACAGAGAGAGAGAAACACACACACACACACACGTGCATGCACATCGCTATAAAAGTGCAATAATCGTGGGCGCGACGTTATACCTCATTTCACCACACCTCACTGTGCAATTTGTAATTGCGACCACCATGTTCCAATCGTCTCAGTGATCGAACGATTGGGAAGTAATTGTAACTTGTGTAAACTTCCCGGCAAAAGTAAGTATACACCCATGTTTGATGGTGGTTAAAAATGAAACAAACAAGAAAATGGTTATCCGATGGAGATATATTTGCTTCGGGTATCTTAGGCGATACTACATGCATGATATCAATGAGTGTCTCATAACAGGTGACGTGCACATGACGTCTTAAGGAACACGGGGGTCGCAGTTTCACTGTACACAAGAGTGATATTAGAATGGCAGGCATTTTCTTTTGCCCGGTTGTATATATATATATCCTGGGAATATAATTTTAAACAGTTTGAGAATTGGTGTCGTTATTTTCTTTTACTGTTCTAATATATTTGATACTGTACAGCAGTGATGAATAGTTTCCTAGACAGAAAGCATGATCTAAGAAACGGTCTCTGGTAGTTCGTAACTATTTGGACGACATCAATCTCATTAAAATCAGATCTTAGTTCTCGCTACCGCAAAGATCTGAGGACATCCCATTACGGGTCACGTCAGACCGACCCTTGCGCGAACTTTGACCGACAAAATTTATGACCAATCAGAAGGCAGCTTACACCACAAATTTAAAATTGGCGACTACGCTTCGAAACATATTTTGACAAATTCTCGATTACAAATTTGAAACCTGAACAAAAAAACATTCTGGATTGGCTAATATGGTCTAGATTGTAAGGATTCAGTCGTTAAACCCGTTACTATCGTTCGGAATACCCCGTGTTAAAGTTTTAGAGATTGCATGATTAGAAATCACATTCCGACTGTCAACTTCAACTTCAACTTCACTTTATTCTCTAGAGAACCACGCATGGTGGTATTAGAGTACATTTTACATGTCAATCATTATATACAAGCAGTCAAAATGGCGGCGGAATAAAACAATATATTGTAAACAGTGGTAGATATAATAAGCATGTCTATTATCTAAGTTTTTATATTACAGAGAAGATAACATTTATAAACTTTGCTAGGTTTCTTAAAACAGTGAAATCTGATGATGTAAACAACCGTCTATAAGATGCCATATTTGAAAATTTGGTTAGTTTTGTTGAAATAAATCTTTTTCTATTTTCATCAAAAGCAGGACAACGAAATATATAATGAAACTCGTCTGCAATTGTCGGAGAGTCACACAATTTACAAGTTCTAAATTCCCTTGGAGTATTATACCAACGCCCTGTCTCAATAGGTAAACAATGATTGGATGTTCTAAATTTTAATATTGGGTAGTAAATATATTTGGGCAATAAGATAAAGGAATCAAGTGATGGTAGGGTCTTAATGTGTTTATAATATTGTCCCTTGGGACTTACTTCTATTGCATTCCTCCACACTTGGTAAAAGTGATCTTTTAGTGTAGTTTCTACTTTATTAAGCAGCCATGTTCTGTTAAAATTACCTGGGAACATATAAATAATACTTTCATAATCTGGTGAGCGACGCAGTGATTGGTCGGATGAAAGGTCGTTCTGACGTGACCCCTAATGGGATGTCCCCAGATCTTTGTTTAGCGGTAGCGAGAACTAATCCGTTGTCCTCGCATAAATATTAACATATTTTCGAGATCTGTCTGATTGAATGGCGTGACAACATTCAAGAAGTACATCAACGGTTATGTGAAATATTAGAATGATTCCTCCACAGAAGCCAAATCATTAAGTTGTTTGATTCTTCGGTAGCATTTTCAATAAATATTCTTCACGAGAGGTTCCTGAATACATTAATCGAGATTACGCTATCCGCATGGATGACTCAAACAACCAATAAAACAATCAATCAACCTCATAAAACAATACAATCAATATAACAAGTAAATCAATCAATAAAACAACTCAATCAAACAATTTAATAAAACAACTCAATCAGCTAACTCAATCAATGAACTCAAACAATTTATCAATCAAACAATCAATCGTGCTTTCTAAATGCAAGAAAATGGAACTCGAGTGACGGATGCTTGACTCATTGTAAGTCTTTGTACACCATTGTATCGTTGCTA